GTTACATTTACTTGAAAGAGCGCAACGTGAAGGTGTTCGTTTAAAGACCGCAGAAACAAAGAAAATCGTTTGGAATTCACAATGCGGTAGGGCGACCCTTGCCCCGGGCATAAAGGAAGGGGATCTCGATAAAAAATTCGATTGATCTTGGAAAGGAAGATCCATATAGATCGGAGCCGTACGTACCGGGGTTCGAGTGCGAGGAGGAGGCAGTCCCTTGGTCGGTTCGAGGAGGTTGTCGTGTGTTCGGTGGGGTCCGATGGTCTTATATAGGCTGGGATGGCATTGCTCTCTGGGCGTGAAACCAGCAGGCCAGATCTCGGTCGTTTCCTCGTGCGAGATGGCACGGGTTTCCCGTGACGTGGCATGGATCATGAGGAAAATTTCCTCCTTGTAGCACAGAAAAATTATCTTACCTCAAAAATTGACTTTTCTAAATTGACTGCAAGCCGTTGCATTGCCGTACCTGATGGAGCGTTGATGCTTCTTTCTGGTTCGATTCCTTCGGTCTTTCTAGGAAATGCGTGGATCAGCATTTTCAGAGATTTCGGTTAAGGAGCCTCAGTCGATCAATTAATTCATCAGTATCTTCAGCAGTGGAACGCGCATCTGCGTCACGCCAGACAAAGATGATGAATTCCTCGAGTCATGAGACGTGTGTGACATTCTCAACTGGTATTGCTTTTGTCAGCTAGTATTGGTATTGCCAGTTTTTATTGGCATTGTCATCTGGTATTGGTATTTTAAGTTGGAGATTTGACAATGATAGGACTTCTTCTTTTGAGTTTAGGAAACCAATGAGTTTGATGTTGTTTACGACTCAGGCACATTTAATCGCCTGGTCGGTAGATAATTGCTCGATGGTCTCCCTTCGATGAGAACTGAGGCTTGCCAATATCGAAGCCATCTTGAACGACCCAGCCTCTTTTTTTGTAGATTCGAATCGTTTGACGGTACTCGAGAGTCTAAAATGCGAAAGGCATTTTATTATTATTCGTTATTTCCGACGACCGTGTGTTTGCCATCTGCTCCTGTTTAATAGGCAATTTTGTATTTGTAATGGGCAATTTTGCATTTCGCATCTGGGACTGGAATTGATGAGATGAACGCCATGGAAACCCAAGCAGACCCCCCCCCCATAATCGAGACTGGGTGGAAATGGGAATGTTTTTGCAGATGTTTCAGGCATTTCCATTCGAAACCCAGTAAAGCAAGGTTCAACCTCTGACATTTCCTCTCCGAAGCGAATCTCATCAGCTCTCTGCATGGCGTCGTGATTCATCAGGATGCCAGACGGGAAATTTCGCGATGGTCAATCAATACCCTCGCTGGCGCGAATGGAAGTGGGGAAAAAATCCCTCCAATGAATTGCCTTTTTTGCTCCTGGACAGCATTATTTCCATGGAGAAATGGAAATTTCGCATCGAACTGAGTCATTCACTCTCTCAAATGCGGTGGTGCGGATGATTCAATGCGAGAAGGACGACTCAACCTCGCTGGATGAAAGCGACCAGAGTCGAAACCCCCTTGGGAGACAATTGCAACTGGGAGATACTGATAAGTTCTCGTCCAAGCCATGCCTCACAAATATCTCGCCCAAACCAAACCACACTTCGAAGCAGTTAGGACCGGTGGCTTTTTCTTCCTTTACGGTTTTGGATTCGCCCATGCTTGGAGAAATATCTGTGATGCATACCGTAGAAATCGATGCGGCCAGATCCAGAAGAAATGAGGTCAAAAATGGGGCGGAATGACTCCTCTTTCAATTCACCGATTTCATTTCCCGATAGATATATCATCGCATCAGGCGTGAAACCAGGAATTAATTCACGGAATATTATATTTCCCATAATTCTTATCCATTTAAAAAAAAATGATTAAAAGAACATCCACTTAACATTTTATTATTTCACGTTATATCATTACCATTTTCACAACATTTGTGTTGGGCTTGGCCTGCTCTCTACACGAGACAGTTCATTTTCGCTGGAAGTGAAGACAATGACATAGAAAGGAAGCCTCAGGGCGTCGCATGACGTGTCAGTGACATGTCACTAATGGCGTATCTCGTGGAATGACTGTGTTTCAAGTGTCACTTCGCAAGCGAGTAACTCATCGTGCGCTTCCAAAGCAAAATGCAGGGTTTCTGCAAACCCTAATTTGAAAAATCTGTTGTCCAATCTCTGAGCGCTAAACATTTTCTTTAATGAAAACTCATGCACTGCTGAAATGGCTTTGTGTATTTCTAGTTTTCTCAAAACCTTGAAATTAAAGTCACAATTGAGAAAAATACGTAAGCCTCAAACCAGCATGAGGATAATTCACCAGATCCATCAAGGATCTGGATCGTCGCGGATAGGGATCGTCAAGGAAGCGAAACGCGGATTTCCCATCGAAAGACTGGAATTTCGGCGAAACGAAAAGCGAGTAGAATTTCCATGCGAAACCCTGACATTTCTTCTCCGAAGCGAATTTCATCAGCTCTCGGGGAAATTCGTGCTCCGAGCGACAAATGAATTCCCTCGCTGGTGCGAATGGAAGCGGAAGCATCCCTAGAATGAACCTCCCCTTTTGGCTCCTGGGCTTCGTCATTATTTCCACGGAGAGGAGAAAATTTTCTCCGAGGACTGAGTCACTCACACTTCCAATGCGGAAATGACGACTCCGATGGAAGCGACCAGGGCGTCGATCCCCAACATTTAACAGATATACTTTAACGACCCTGCAATCAATCGGGAATGTTGCCACATCCCAAACTGTTCTTGAAATTTGACATACCATCAGAGATTTCGGGAAAGAAAAAAAAATTCATTTTCGTTTTCCTCCCGTTCTCACTGAAATGGTCTCGTCCGAGCCATGCCTCACAATTATCTCGCTCAAACCAAACCACACCTCGGAGCAGTTAGGAACAGCTGCTGCTATTTTCTACCTTTCCTGCTTTCGCCCATGTTTGGAATAATGACTCATTTTCCCCCCCATAAAAGTAATGCAATTGGACATTCAGCTCCGTTACGGAATCGCTTCCTACACGCGTCCCCGTAATGAAAAGGTCGTCTGAATGATGAAGCTATAATCGTTCTCTTACTTCAGCATCGACTGAATTTCGCTGGAGTTTCAAAACTGAAGTTTTGCAATCTGGTCGAAAAGCGATCAAGGCGAAAAGAATTCCCTCGATGTTGCGCGCATCCCCTCGCAGAAGAAGCAGATCAGGTCCATGTCGATGTCTCGAATGTCGAATTCGCCCTCGCATTCTCGAGTGGAAACTTGGATTTTTCACCATCCAGTACATGCTGCAGTCGCATATTACTGGATTCCCTGGGAGACAACGGCAAAGGGATATTATATTTATGGGATCGTCGCACAAAGCGCTGCGCACGTCCTGTTTTTATTGGGCAATTTTAAAAGCTCAGCATCCTTTAAACCAAGAGTTGACGGTTCAACAATCGAAATAAACAGGGATTTATTCAAGCACTACACGACTAAAGATTGGAAAGGTTTTTACTGCTTACTCTACACAAATACGCGGTCTTCCCGATTGCGCTTTTTTCAATTTCGACTTCTTCATCGTGTTCTACCCACGCACTCCTTTCTCCACGTGTGTAGGATAGTAGACTCCCCGGTTTGTCCGGTGTGCAGAAAGAACGTGCACACGCTTCTTCATATGTTGTGGGAATGTAAACCTTCAGCGGAATTATGGAGTACGATTGACGGATTTCTGAGAGAAGAAAGTAATCTTCCTCCGTTGGATAAATCTGATGTTGTCTTCGAATCACATGGAATCAGCTGGGCAGTTAATTTCATAATCTTGGTATGTAAACATTTTATTTTTGTTTCACATATGAATAAAACGAAACCGTCTATTGAAAACTTAAAAGAAAAAATTAATATTGAATACAATATTATTCTTGTTTCCTTGTTTCTTATTCCCTAATTTACTCCATCCTCATTATCTCAAGGAACTGCCTTGCTCCTCTGTCCTCTCCCAACTGCTCTTTCTGTTTTGACTCATCGGTAATCCCTGTTTTTTTTTCTTCTTGTTTTTCATGTTTCTGTACCATTTCCTTTTTTTGTTACCACCATTATTATCACTTGCTTATGTAGTGGGCTATATATCGCAATAAAATTGTTTGGGGGAAAAAAAAAAAACTTGACTCTTTTTATACAATGTATCTCCTCTCCCGGATGAGAAAAGTCGCATGTGACGCTTACCGGATTTGATCAGACGCTTTCCTAGGAATTGTTTATCATGAGACTCTATACACATGCTGAAGCTGGGCCGAAAGACGTGAGCTTACACGCTCGTAACGCGTGCGGCGTCACCTTTGAGCGCTAATTGAAACACGAACAACGGGAAAACCGAGTTTGCGGTCGGAAAAGACTCCCGTGTCATTTAAATTTAAATATTATTAAATTACTGTTCCCATTTAAATCACTGTTCTACACACTGAACTGAACTCCGGAGTGAAATATTTCTCCAAGGCGTCCAGGAGCACGCTCAAGCCATTCCGTGCGGGCGACCTGAAAGGATTTTCTTCCGGTTGACATTAGCCAGAATGACTGAAGCGACCCTTTTCATGGCAGGTCAGCGATAATGATGAAGAAATGAATTTTTGAAGAGAAAAAAATTTTGGTTTGGTTCGGCCTGGTATTTCTATTTTTACGAATCACTTCGGAATTTAATCTTCGAAATTTCATTGTGCATATATATAGCATTCACCAAGAAAATTCAGACGAATCTTCCCAAATCGTTTTCAGCGCCGTTCCATCCCGATGTAACGAGTTGAAGAAGTCGGGACCGAATCCTCAACGCGTCGATCTTGACTTTCTGGTCGGTGGCGAGACGTATCTCCAACCTTTTAAAGGATTTTCCTGAGTCGAGTGATAAATTTCCGGCTGGCGTCGAGCGCATCGGACGCAAGCCGGTGTGCACGTGCATGGGGCGTGACTCGAAAGCAAAAAATTTGCGACGAGATAAACGCTTATCGCTCGCCGCTTTTCCGCGAGAGGGGATCGCATATCGACGCTCTGGAGGGAAGAAAGCGAAAGCGAAGCCGACTTTTTGCGCCTGGTTTTTGTTGAGGTCGCGACCTGCCTCTCTTTACCCTATTGGTGAGCCAAAACATTCATCATGAGCTCATCACGATTTCATGTCAGCTGGATTTTCTGTTTGCACGAAAATTATGATCTCTGGAAGGCGTTGCGCCGAGGCAATAACTGCCGAATTCGAATGCTTCTTCTTGGAGCTGGATTACGAAACAGTCCTATCGGATTCCTTTAGGAATGTACGGGTATGTTTAGGAATTCTATGGGAAATCAACAGGAAACCTTTTAGAATCCTCGTGGTTTCCGATAAGATTTCACAAGATACCACAGAATCCGATAGGATACTTTTGAAACCGTGTAGCTTAAGTATAGGATGCCCTACAAGATGCCCTTGAGATACTACAGGTTTCTATAGATATCCTAATGGAATTTATGTGAAACTTATTGGTTTACCATAGGAATTTATGGCTTCGTTTCGAAATCCAATAGGATTCCCATAGGAAATTTTCGTGGGGGGAGACAGTTTCTTAAATCCGGAGATTAAAAGAAAACGATCAAGTAAGCGAAGTATGTTTCTTTGATTTCATATGAAGTTTGAATTCGCAGGTGTGACTTTTATGAACAATCTTTTGAACAATCAACAATCTTTTTTTTCTACATGAGTGACGGACCTTGCCTTTTTTTTTGTTCCAGTCGACATGAAGTCATTCCGTAAGTGCATATCTCCGGTGTTTTTTTTGTTCTTTTTTTTGCAACCGTTCGGTTCAAAAGACGGAAAATTTAATGCGGGGATGACGCAGGAGCTGTGTTGACGATGCTGGCGCTGGGAGCCGCCTGCACCGCCTTCGACCTGAAGCTGGCCACCTTCAACATCAGGCAACTCGGGGATGCGAAGTTGGATAAGCCCGCCGTGGTGGAAATCCTTCTACAGGTAGGCTGCACGGTTCTCGGTCCAAAAATTATCAATGCTTGAGATTTCCGATGTATATTAATACCATTAATCCGCAACGTCACCGTGGAACCTTTCAAATCTGCTTGGTAAAGGAGTCACGTGCTTGACTTAATATGTAAACGAAAACAATGATGTGTCATTGGCATTTCCACAAACGGTGTGAAACTTTTCAGAGTAACTTTCCCATTCCGCTTCGCGAGTGGAAAACTCTGCAGGAAATCGATTCGAGCCTCACCGACTGAGACTGCATTTCATCGCAAGTTCGGCTTCCGTGTCGTTCTCGCGACCGCAGATCCTGGACGACTACGACCTGGTGTCCATCCAGGAGCTGACGGATGCGGACGGGAGCTGCGTCCCGCGCCTGCTCGACCTCCTCAACGAGGCGTCGGGGAAGGAATACACGAACCACACGTCGCCGAGGCTCGGCAACTCGGACACCAAGGAGCAGTACCTCATCCTGTACCGACCTTCCGTCGTCCAAGTGAAGAACAGCCTCCTCTACGACGACGTCGGCGACGACTTCGAACGGGAACCGTACTACGTCACTTTTGAAGCCGGTAGGCACAGGATTTGATACGGGACTGTCGGGTGAACGATCTGAAATGGAGGTTGTCTCAGATTCCCAGACAAAAATGCTGGGAATGGTACTAATAATTTCAGGGACATACTGCATGAACCTGAAGTTTCCCATTTAATTAATAAGAAATATGCAGTCATAGAATTTTTTTGGATTTCATAACGGCATGAGTTCCGATCAAAAGCTTAACAGGCACAACAATTCCCATGACAATCGAAGCGCAAATGGTAAAATCGTATATTGTCTTTCAGAAAGAAGTTAATTTCGCACTTGGTCTTCCTCTAATGGGCTCATGCCATGGTCTTCAAGGGAATCTCGGATTGACTCCATCTATCCTCGCATTGTCTCTCATCACAATGTCGATCACGTCGCATCATGTTGCAGGAGGCTACGAGTTCACGATCGGGTCCATCCACACGAGGCCCACCGCAGCGGTCCCGGAGTTGGACCATTTCGCACTCGCCACGGACTGGGTGACGGACGCCTCCGGCGTACAGGTAGGACCGGACCAAAAAAAAAAGGACCGGACCAGACGGCGAAGACGGGTCGGCCTGTGTCGAACTTTCGGCGACCCTTGTGGGCACCATCCGCACTTTAACTTGGACTTAATGCTTCGCCGGTGATGTTACTTGTTGAATGTAGACAAATCGATTTCCAAAGATATACCACAAAATGTTACTATGCTCCATACTTTGTTAAAAATTAGTACTAAATATATATATAGTAAATATATACATATATAAATATATTAGTACTAAATACTAAACTGGGGAGAAAAGATGGGGTTCACAATTGGAAATGCTTTAAAATATCCAGTGTTGAAGCTTCAATAATAAAAGAAAAATATATAATCGCAATTGAAACCTATCTTATTGCGTTGAATCCGCGTTGCATTCCGTCTCAGGAGTTCATTCTACTGGGCGATTTCAATGCGGACTGCGATTACGTGAAGGAAAGCGATTGGGCCAACATCAGTCTCTGGACCCGACCCGAGTTCCAGTGGCTCGTGCGCCACGACGAGGACACCACCGCTAATGGGAACACCTTCTGCGCCTACGATAGGTGTGACATTCGGTTTTTTTTTGTTTTTTTTTAAAGGATCTTATTGCCAAGTTTCTTAAGACCAAATAGGATTCATGATTGAAAAAAAAAATTTCGCAGTCTAATAAGCTTTTTTGGAACATGCATGAACTTGTACCTCGTACATCATTATCGTAGCAGAAATGTAAATAATAGTGAATTAATCTGGGAAAAGATTGAGTTGAAGATTTTTTAATTCGAAATGTGGAAGATGTGCACTCATCAAAGGCGTACAGTTCTCTCTTTCCCTTCGAAAGTCGAAGCAGCGATGAAGGTCCAACTGGCCAGTCTGTGCTTGATCCACCTTGATCCATCTTGATCCACCTCCCAATCCGCAGGGTGGTGGTGAAGGGGTCCGCCCTTTCCGGGAGGGTCGGGGGCGTCCGGGTGAGGCCCTTCGACCAGGAATTCGAGCTCGGGCAGGAGGAGGCTCTGGACGTGTCGGACCATTATCCGGTAGAGTTCACGCTCTCGGTGTGAATGGAGGAGAGGTGAAGATTTTTTTTTTGACGCAGTCGGGTTTGAATAAAGACCTTGAGGGGATGTCGTAACGGGAAATTTTCCTTTCCGATTTCTGTATTCGCACACGGATGATTAGGATGATGGCGGCCAGCTTGTATGTCATGTGACGTAAAGGCATTTTCGCCTCGGAACGAGTCGAGTCGGTTCGAGGAACTCTGGATACACCTAGCGTTCCCCGACCGCACCGAAATGGTTCATGTAACTCGAGAAAGCCCTTCATTGGGTTTAATGTTACACGTTATGAGTTAAATGGGCCATGAGAGGCTGGATTGGCCTACGATTAGCCTAACGTTACACGTCCTCGACGAAGCGTCTCGAAGACCAGCGATTAGTCCTCATAGGTCTAATTGGTCCGTAGGGAGGATTGAGAGTCTTTTGAACGGAGAAGAGGTAGCCTAGGCCTGACCCGAAGACAGTCCTAGGTTGGGCCAAGGCCGAACGTTAGCGTGTTCCGTAGAGAAGGGGGGAAGGTGGGGGGCGGGAGGTGAGGATGAGGTTGAGGTTGGGTTGAGAATGAAGAAAGGTAAAACCTTTGAAAATTGGTTTTCACATTACGACATTATGAATTACCCCGTAAATTCGTGCATTTTCATCCCTCGTTCCCCAACACGCTCTCGTTCGCCGCCCCCTTCAGACGGGAACTGAAAGTATCTCACCTTAGCGGAACGGAACCTGGGCAGGAGAGGAGAGGAGAGTCTCGTCCGTCACGCTGGGGAAGGCGAGGCAGCCGGGGAGGTCGCACTCGTCGAGGGTAGTGGTGCGGGAGGGGCAGCCTGTGAGGGGCGGGGACCATCTCGAAGCCCGGGAGGAACCTCTGGACGTGGTGGATGTCGTCCTCGAGGATTCGCTCCGGCAGAGTCGCGTATGTCGCCCTGAAACATCCGGGGAAGTTTCATCTCGCCTACGTCGTCTTGGTGACGATGATCGGATCGTCCTGCGTGGCGTTCCCGCTGTCATCGTGCATCTGGTAGAAAAACGTGTTGACATTCCATGAAGGAATATTTGCAGTCGTTGAACGAGACGAATTGAGCGGTTTCGTAGGTCTCGCCATTTCTTGTAAGGGCGAACCGAGGCGACGCCTTCGTCCTGGTGGAACTTCAACAGGCAGTTCGCGTTGGAGTCCGTCGAGCGATGACGGAATTCTTTCACTCCCATCGGTCCGTAAAACTCGAAAAATTCTAATAAGAGCTTCTAGCTGTCGAATCCGTTAATGAAGTGGTCTCACGCAGAGACCGATCCCTCGTCCCGGTCTCCGGAGATAATTCTTCCGAACCTCGAGACGATTGCTCGCCGCGATTCCCAGCTTGAGTATCGAGACCGTCCGCGGAATCTCTCGCGATTCGCGGTCGACAGGAGGGGAGAGAAAAACCGACGTGTGATTCCGATCCGGATCGATCCCGGTCGCAAGTGGTAGGCAAGATTCATTAGTAACGGTTTCTACTTTCGTTAGTGACATTTCTCTAGGGCCTAGGGAATGTCCAAAACTCATGGGGATCGATGGATGGATCCTATTGGGACCCTATAGGTCTCATAGTAGACCTATTGGATTCCAATACGTTCCCAAAGGATTACTATTGCGCTTCCCATAGGAAATTATGTATCCTATAGGACTTATGACATTCCTATAGGAATCTCATGGACTCCATATATTGGAATCCATGCCTACCTATAGGAATTCTATAGGTCCTTTAGGTAAGCTATAGCAAGACCTTTTCTTTCAGAAATCCGAGACCGAAAGGAAGCGATCCAGAATCCCACGCGTCGAACGTGGGTGCCATTCGCGGGTGCCATTCGCGGGTGCCATTCGCGGGTGCCATTCGCGGGTGCCATTCGCGGGTGCCATTCGCGGGTGCCATTCGCGGGTGCCATTCGCGGGTGCCATTCGTTGGTCCAACGCCCTCTCGCGCGCTTCGGTGAGACAGCTTCGAGCCAGCTTTGCTCCGCTTTTCTGCATGAAGCAATGCGGGTCCGAGAATCTCTGCTAACTGTGAAGAAAATATCTCAAGCCGAGCCTCGAGAACAGGAAAGGATGCATCGGCAACTTTCTGTCAGGGAAATTTTTTATACCATTACTCACGTTTAACCACGGAGTTTTTCCCTCACGCTACGATGAAGTCCAGGTATGCCTTCTGGACGTTTTAAAAGAAATTCGAAAATGAAGACGCTGGAAACACCCGCGGACGTGAAATTTTCCCCGTGATGGATGCCGCAAATCAGTCACATCGCTGGCCTTGAACCTCCCAGGGTTTTTCGGCCTTGGCTCCGGCTTGACTGTTTTGCGGTGAAATTTTTTTTCCGTTTTTTTTTTTGTTGTTGGTTCGATGGGCAAACTTGCAAACGGAGAATTTGGCTATATTTGTTTGCACTTCTCCGAAATTTTTTATTTTCCTTTCTCGATTGACCTTAAATACGAAATCGAGGATACATTGAATACGTCGAAATGAATACGTCTGAATAAATACGTCGAAATGAATACGTCTGAATAAATACGTCGAAATAAATACGTTAAACACTCGAAACGTCGACAGGCCTTTGGTGGTTTATGGGTGCGCAACGAAGTCGAGCATCCGAAGAGACGTGCAAATGAGGCTTTACAACTGCCGCCAGTGATTCAAAGCGAATTCCGTTGCATCTCTGTGCCATCTTCATATCTGATATTCATATATTCATATTCACACATTCGATGTTTGGGATTTGTCGAACGATGCTTCCAGGTATTTGCATTAATGAAGGTACTGTCCTCGATCGCGAATTGCTATTGTTTTCCTCTGCGCTTTCGACGTGGCATTCGTGGCCTCGCGCAGAGACTCATCCGTTACTCCCGTTATCCGTTACTCCCGTTCTCGTAACGTATTTCCGAAATCTCAGGTCATCATTCGCAGGCTCATTCGCAGGCTCGAGACTGCCGAAGGAGCGAAAAATTCGCGACTTTCGCGGAAAGGCATTCAGAGAGCGAGCGTCGGATGCACGGCCCCGACGACCTCCACCCGGACCCGGACGCGCAGGCCGGATACCGGATCTTTTGATGGCTTCCGCCTCCAGAACCCCGAAACGTGTGAAATATCAGAAATGTCTAAAATAAAAAATTACTTCAATTAGTTAAATGATTAATGAAACTATTCAAAGAGCAATTTAAAAATTAATGTAAAAAATGAATGCAAAAAAATTAATGTAAAAAAGGAATGCAAAAAAATTAATGTAAAAAAGGAATGCAAAAAAATTAATGTAAAAAATTAATTACATTAATTCAGTTTCATCGGCGATGAGAGCTTTCGATGAAGAAGATGCTCAGAGCGAGAAAGTCGGAAGAAAAAGCGAATGGAAATTGCCTGCCTCGGCGCAAGGAATTCTTCCGCGGAATCTGATGCTCGCTGGAGGCCGCGTCTGGCTGGGAATTTTATTTTCTCCGTCGGGGAAAGGGGGCAGAGAGAGCGTGGATGCGGATGCGGCGGGGTCGTGAGAGCGAGAGAATTCCGTCCGACATCCCGCTTTCACCCCCGCTTTCACCCCCGCTTTCATCCCCGCTTTCACCCCCGCTTTCACCCCCGCTCTCATCCCCGCTCTCATCCCCGCTTTCATCCCCGCTTTCACCCCCGCTTTCATCCCCGCTTTCTCTCACCTTTTGGCGCGTGATCGGCCGGCGAGGCGGGTGAACGCGAAGGTGATTGGAAATTCGGCTTCGAGACGGAATAATCCTCGGATTATTGGATCATCCTCGGGTCGTGTCAAAAGTGACGAAGACGAAGACGGAGCGAGGACGCGGGGTGGGGGGCTTGTTGGTGGGGGGCAGGGGGCACAGGGGGCACAGGGGGCAGGGGATATGTCAGAGATGAAAGGTGTTCTTTCGACGGCAATGCTCCATCATAGCGCTAATGAGAATGGAAATCACCGGGAGAGTGTTAAGCCCGATGTTAAGCGACTTCGTCTCCCGTTCCGGATTTTTCCGCTTTCCGGATTTCGACGGCCGTTCGTTTTTTTTCTCGCGGATTCCCGAAG